ATTTATGTTTAAGGTAATTTCTAATAAGATGACATTTATTTCTACCATTTTGCTATTTATTTTTTATCTTTGGGATCTTGTTATTACTCTCCTCTATTACTGCCTTATTTTGTGAATAGGTGTTGTCTAAGGTACAATTTTAATGTCCTTGCTACTTTACCATATTTTTACTGGGATCAGGCGATCCTTCCGCCTCAGCCTTCCAAGTAGCTGGAACTATAGGCGCATGCTACCATGCCTGGCTAATTTTTTTTTTTTAATTGTAGAGACGATTTATTATTGTATTGGCCTTCCTGAGCCAACCCTCTAAGATTCTAGAACCCTCTGGGATTTTCCTGAATTTAGAGACTAGGGTAAGCCTAGTAACACACGTACTCCATAAGCCACCCACTGGCTTAACTCCTGTCTCCTGGGTACAAACCCTAGATGCCAGACTCTTTAGCACCAGAGAGGTGAAAACAAGACTAGGCTCCTGTGAGTACATTCAGTGTGACTCCTAATGGCTAGAGATTTTGATCCCATATAGCCTGGGGGTGAAGGAAACCTCCCACCCTACAGATACCCTTTTGATATAGAGACACTATGTGGGCCATAAAAGTCATTATTGGCAAAATACAAAATGTAGCTGTAACTTAAGTTCTATACAATGCTCTGCCAGTCACATAGTCAAGGTATAGGTACCAAGCACCCTGCACTTATAAAAGCGAACTGTAAAACTTGAATGATGAGTAAAACCATTTTAGAAAGGCCAAGAGCCAGGTTCTTCTCCCTGGATTCAAATTCAGAAGTAAACATCTTTCTACCAGTTCCCTTACTGTCAATTTATTGGTGTCAAGGGTTAGCAACCAAGCGTTACTCGAACTGTAACACTTAGAGCCAACTGTTGTCTCTGACAGCATACAGGTACAATCTAGGGTCTGTCTGATCTTTATCCTGGAAATTTTAGGCAGATATAACCATGGCTTAGCCACTCTAGGGAGAACCTCCGTGGATCCAGAGGGAATGCCCTGTTCCAACATGGCATTGGGGGAGTGGATGCTTTCTAACCCTCTGCTTCACACTCCTGGCTACCCACTCACCCATCCACCTCACTTCCTGCAAGAGGCTCCCACCTCTGCTTTTACTTGAACTCTTCCAGACTTAGCCTCAAGACTGAAGCACTTGTGCAGGTCCAGCTCTAGCCTGATCCTGGGAGAATCCATAAGACACTGAACTACCCAACAAGTAGCTTCAATCAAAGTTGTCAGTAATAGGCAGTAGATAAATAGGCATATTAACTGCATGATTAATAAATATATCTCCTACATAGTAAAAAAAAAAAAAAGTCAAATATTTTTGTAGAGATGGTTGCTTTGTTTCACTTTCTTAAGGGAAAAACACTAAAAACCATTTTTGGAGGGAGCTAGGTGTCTAAATAAGCTAAATAAACTATAATATGACACTATGCATAGTCTATCAGTCATATTCTCATATACTGATGACTTCCCCAAAATTATCATCTTTATTCTATGAACTAAGCTTGTGATAAAGGCTCAGTAGTCTATATTGTACATGAATGCATTTTTGCTATGTAAAATTACATAAATTAAAATTTTCTTTTTTGCATAAACTAATCAACAGTCTAGTCACTGTGTTCTGGGTTATCATAGCCCCTGCATGTAATTAGACCTGTTAACTGTGGCTTTCAGATTTCTGTCCAATAATGAGCTGGCTAACTGTCCATGATCCCAGATCATAGCAGGTCATATGAGTATTTCTGTTAGGCAGTTTGTCTCTTACTCTTCCCCATGATGAATAGGAGAACTAGAAGAAGCACAGTTTATTTAATAGAACCTGATTGTTCTGCAGATTAGAGCCCTGTCCAGTGGCAGATAGTAGAACCAACTGTGACCTCCCTTTATAGGACTGATGTGACTGTGTACTTACGTACCTAATATCATGTCACTCATAGCTCAAATGTTTGTGCCAGTGTTTAAGACTTGCTTCTACCTCTAATTAGTGTTTTTATTATGCAAATGCTATTTCTAGTCTGATTTGTTCCTAGAAGATTTATGAATAATCCATAGTGTTCAAATTTCTTCCTAGATCTGTTCTTTTGAACCACATGGCCAGAGAACATGCTTTCAACATTGGATTGCCAGACAACATTGTAAACTGCAAGGAATTTCTATGTACATTACAGAAAAAGCTTGACAAGTATGTATTGTTTTATGACACACTGCCTAAAACTGTTTTAATCTTGGACTCTGTTGTAAATTTTTTTTAATTAATTTAGCCCAGGTATGATGGTTCATGACTATAATTACAGCACTTAGGGAGACCAAGGTAGGAGAATTGCTTGAGCCCAGGCATTTGATACCAGCCTGGACAATATATCAAGACCCCATATCTACAAAAAATATATGTTTTTTCTTTTAATTAAAATCAGTTTAATAGTCAAGAATAGTTAAAGAAATGGAAATTTTTCATACTGGAATAGTTTACATTTTGTATGGCAACCCTTACTTTATTTAGATCATACTGCCTTTTAGTTTAAAAGAATTTTTTAAAATAGAATATTATATATACCAAAAATATACATACCATATAAGGCGTGTTATATAGGATATGAGGACTATGCTCACCACCCAGCCTAAGAAACAGAACATTATTAATTCCTTTGAACCTCCCTGTGTGCCTTTTCCCATTAGTATTTCTATAGAAACTGCTATTCTTAATTTTGGAATTATAATTCCTTTACTTTTCATTATATTTAAATATATATATATTTTGAGTTGGTGTCTTGCTCTGTTGCTCAGACTAGAGTGTGATGGTGTGATCATGGCTCACGTTGTAGCCTTGACCTCCTGGGCTCAGGCGATCCTTCCACTTCAGCTTTCCAAGTAGCTGAGGCTATAGGTATGTATCCCACACCTGACTAATGCTTTTGTGGAGACGAGGTCTCACTATGTTGCCTAAGCTGGTCTTAGACTCCTGGGCTTGAGCAGTCCTCCCCCACCACGGCCTCCCAAAGTGCTTTTCATTATAATTTTTCTACATATTTAGTAAAGTAAATATATTGTCAAATTAATGTATGTTATTTAGTTTTATGTGAGACATAGTAAAGAATGCATACTATATGCATTCTTCTGCCTGTTAGCTTGTATTCACGTTTGTATATGTAATGATACTTCATTGTCCCAAGGTCACATTCTAGCAGCCTTGGGTATCTAGAGCTTACTTAGCCTGTTGAAATAAGAAAGAAAATTCTCTAGGTCACCAAAATGACTCAAAACTCGATTCACTTTTCTTTCTAGGAAAGGGCCCAAGATTTTTTCTCTGAGAAACCAGAATACTAACAAATGTGATGTCTCAGCTCACAATATTTAAAGCAATAACATTTTAAATTTAAGAATTATCTGGCTGGGCTCGGTGGCTCAGCCTGTAATCCCAGCACTTTGGAAGGCCAAGGTGACTGGATTACCTGAGCCCGTGGGTTCGAGACGCGCCTGGGCAACTTGATGAGACATCATCTCTACAATAAATAAAAAATTAGCTGGGCCTAGAAGGCTGAGGCAGGACGCCAGAGCCCAGCAGGTCAAGGCTGCAGTGGCTGGGAGAATGCCACTGCATTCCAGTCTGGATGACAGTGAGACTCCAACTCAACAAAAAAAAAAAGAATTATCCAGTGATATAGATCAATTATAAAAAGTTCTTAAGTTCCAATATCAGTGGTATTAAAATGAGTCCCTTTACCCTTTTGTTAAATGACTATTTTCAAATTAAGACCAGATGTACTTTCTAGCGAGATTAGCAGTAATGAATATCCATAATCAGCTTATCACCTGTAAATTCTTTACTGTAGAAGAATACACTATAGAAGAATATTCTTATGCTAAAGAATAAATTCCATGGCATAAGAAATAGATGAAAAGGTGTTTAGTAGAGACTTTAAAAAATTGAAAATTGAAGCAGTAAGAGATTGCACTCATTTGAAAGTTTACATGGCCGGGCTCGGTGGCTCAGCCTGTAATCCCACGCCTTTGGGAGGCTGAGGTGAGCGGATTGCCTGAACCCGCGGGTTCGAGACCTGCCTGGGCAGCAAGACCTCATCTCTACAATAAAAAAAAAAAAAAAAAAATTAGCTGGGCGTGGTAGCACGCGCCTGTAATTCCGGCTACTCGGAAGGCTGAGGCGGAAGGATCGCCGGAGCCCAGCAGGTCGAGGCTGCGGTGGCCAGGAGCAGCCACTCCATTCTGGGCGACAGAGTGAGACTCCAACTCAAAAAAAAAAAAAAAAAAAAGAAAGTTTACATGTAAAAAGATTAGACCAACTCTGTGTGGCTCCAAAAAGTAGAACTCTCTACTTTCTACTGGGTAGAAGTTACAGGTAGTATCAATAGTCAAGGTTAGTATGAGAAAGACACTTTGCTAGTAATCTGTTCAAAACTGGAGGTAATCACTGCTTCATTAGTATTGAATTCAGTCAGTGGAAATATTCAAGAAGATGGTATATGAGAATAATAATAATAACAGCTTTTTATCTTATGCATATACATGAGTAAAATACCTAGCACAGTTCATAGCACACAGTAAGTATTCAAGTATTCAATAAACATATAAATGAAATTACCATCAAAATGCTCTAAAATGTAGTTATTATCTGCAGTTTAGAAATCAGAAAATTATAACAGAAGGGGAAAGTAACTTTCGTAAGTCCTATAGCCAGTTGGCACTGGAGCAAGGAATCAAACCCTGGAAATCAGCTCACGGGATATACCAAACCATGGACTATTTATACCAAACCACGGACTATTTATTTATGTATTTATTTGTTTTTGTAGAGACTGGGGTCTCACTATGTGGCCCAAGCTAGTCTCAAACTCCTGGGTTCAAGGGCTCCTCCCACCTTGGCCCCCCGTAGTGCTAGGATTACAGCATGAGCCATCACACCCAGCCATGTACTAATTATTATATACAATAGGGCAGTCAGTGATAGTCATCATTATAATTATTTGAAGACTATACTTACATTTTCATTTTAGAATATGTAATTTGATTTAGTAAAGCACCAAAATAACTTGAATGCTAGCTATCTTTGTCATAGTTTTAAGTAAATGTCCAAGTTGGCCAACTTAGCCCACTCCAAAATACACCACATTATGCCTTCTACAAACCCAAATGAATAAAATGAGGAGGAAATTCTGACAAGGATGGCACATCGCCTCTGAAGATTCTGCATGACCTAAAATGAGTAAATATAAAACAAGAGTAATAAAGGAATGTTGTAGGAACTATCCAGGAGACTTGTTTAATCTATCAGTATTTGTGTATTTCTTTTAGTTTGCAGTGCTTGTACTGTGAGAAGACCTTCAGGGATAAAAATACACTTAAAGATCACATGAGGAAAAAACAGCATCGTAAGATCAATCCTAAAAACAGAGAATATGACCAATTTTATGTCATCAATTATTTGGTAAGACTTTCTTTTCATAATATCAAGCTTGATTGCAGTACTGCAAACATAATCTTTCTAAGGGCCAACTAATATTTGAATAAGCAATTATTACAAAAATCAAAATGTAATTGAGGGACACATTCAAGCAGTCACTAGATTTAAAATGGTTAGTTTACAAAGCATTTGTAATATACAGAGGCCAGAAATTGGTTGGTTTACAAAGCATTTGTAATATACAGAGGCACTGGGATTTCTGAGCATTATTAAACTAAAATTCTCCCCTAAGAAGCAAGTTTACATGAGTAGTTACCCTCCCTGATAAAGGCAAAAGTACCCTTTGAGTCCTTCAGTCTTTTCTTGAAATGATGCAACTTCCTAGAGCAAGTGCTGCTTCAGGGCCCAGCCCAGTTCAGTAGGGAGTATACTTCAAGTGTCCGCGCTAAGAAATATTCAGCCACTGTAGCAATTTAATAGGTTTTCCTTCTGCGTCTCTTTTAAACTGGTATTCAAGAGCGTGGACTAGCGGAACATTATGTAACTGGAGGTGTTTACCTTTTAGAGGCTACTTCAAAGGGTCTGCTCACTCTTATTCTGCTGGCACTTTTTGAAAAGCATGATACTTCATTTTCTGGACATCAAGTAGTGTAATGTCAAAACTGAAATCATCTACCAGGGCCAGCTATCTCTAGATGAGCATGCAAGGTTGGAGTGCCCTCACAGTGCCCAGATTTGATGTGGTATGAATTATGGCTTGAGAAAAGTGCTTCAAGAGAATATAAAGGCCTTAATAACATATAAGATGAAAATTAAATTACAACCTTAGGGTAATATTGATAGAAGTCATTTTTTTAAACTATCAGCTATTTGACTACTTAGTAGGGGCCAGAAACTATCCTAGGTATTTACATTCAGCCATTTAATCTTAATCACATTCTTATGAGTCAGGTATTATCATTTAATTCATTTTATAGATTAGGAGACTGGGGCATAGAGAGGTTGAGTTATTTTCTCAAAGATAGGGCAAGTTATTTATCCTCTGCATCACTTTCCTTCATTTTTGCAGTTGAGATAATACTAGTACCTACATTTTATGCTTGGGGTTAGATTTTTTTGGTCAAGTAATGGTGATGAATTCATAATGATCTACTCACCCTCCCTTGCCAATTTTCTTTGTAACAAAACAAAGACTAAGCCAAGGCCAAAGTAAAGCCAACTTTAATCTGCCCCACAACTTAGCCTTCCTAATTCTGTATACATTCCCACTGAGATAAATAGCAACAACAGTAAGAATGTTGAACAGAAAAAAATCTAAAATGTTTTATGATGCCTTAGCATTATGGAAATTATGTAAACACTTTTGAAAAGGATTGAAAAAGACCGTTGACTTCTCTAAAGATGTACAGGTGTCCTACACGAGAGAAGTGTTTCCAAAGATACCAACATTAATACCATTCTAGGAATATTTTAAGGGTTAATGTGGTATATTTAAAGTATAGTAATGCATAGAATAAGATATCAAAAAAACTGTTCCAAATACTAATGGTGTATAGTTAGAGAAAAACAAAGGCCAGTAATTTCTCAGCATGTTAGTTTTATTTCGGAACCCATTAGTGGATATTATTTAATATGAAGAACATGAAGAATTAACCATCAATGTAAAGAATAAATTCTAAAATTTTTTTTAAGCCATGAATAATGACAATGTTCTATTATTTAAAGAAAAAAGAATGAGATAGATTAACTGCTTATTCCTCTGAGGGAAAAGACAGAAGAATTGTTTTATCAGTAGTCAGTGTCTGTACATTCATTTCATTGACTTCATACATTCTGCGTACATTTGAGTGCCATCCAGGTATCAGATGATGGAACAGAAAGAAAAATATTGTAGGCAGGAGAAGGATTTGTGTCACCGCAGTTCAGAAAGTGGTATGGGAGACAGACATGTAAACGCACTAGTCTGAGCACCTTGTAATGGTGCATGCAAAGTCAGCATTTGACGCTTCCTATATATACCTGCAATAATTGAGTTGTCCACACACACAGTTCCTCACCGCCACTTCAACACCTGTAGAATCTCCAGGACAGCAGTGATGGGAATGTTCAGGAAGTTCTTGGGAAGAGGCATTCTAACAACCATCAAAGGCAGGAAAGCCAGGGGCAAAGAAGCTGTTTTGGGCTTTCTTCTGAGCTCAGCAAACTGACAGATTCCTTATTCCTTCTTAGGTGAGATAATTTCCATGTTTAATAATTCATATCAGTATGAATAACAGACTTGCAAATATATTAAAGGTTTTTTGCATAATCTGGGTTATCTAAATTCTTAATTTGTTTTCTCACAAACAAAAGGTTTCAATGGAGAATGGGGATGTTAGAGGCCAAGGTGCTGGTTAATTTCACATCCAGATGCCCCTGCCTCAGAGGGTAACATGCTGTCTAGCATCCCAAAGGCTTCGGCAATGGATTCCTAAGGTGCTCCTGTTTCAAACCCTGAGTTTTTCTAAAGGAAACTAGCTTTTGCTTTGGTTCTTTTATTCTCATTTTTTGATTTGTTTTTTTATTCTTAAAGTATACAAAACTACTTTACAACAAAAGTAGACACTTATTTTCCATAGTTTTATTATAGTTCTTGCTAATGAAATGATTTATTTACTTTTGAAAAGCACTCTTCTTTCTCTGTCTTTGACGAGGTTTTGTGTAAGCACACGTTAGTGTGTATGTATCAGGGCAAAGGGGGTGCTTGATGAAGGGAATCTTTTATGTCCATGTTTTTTTCCACCCTCTCATTGCTCAAAAACCATCTGATGCAGGGACTTGAGGGGGTGTTCTGAACATCTTTACTGATATGTCTTCCAAACTTTGTTTTTCTTGTGTTCTTTGCTTTCATGACATGATTCATTAGCAAGCACAGTGTCTTAATTAGAGTTATGTGCTTTGTTTTATTTTGTTTTTTTATTCTCTTCAGGTCTTGTTCCTACAATAAATCATATATTTAACTGAACTAAAGCAGAACACTCTAGAAAAGTCTGGGCCACTGTCACATGCAAATTGCTTATTTTCTAAATACTAATAAATATAGATATCCATTTTCCTTTCAAGTGTGCTAAATGGGTATGCTGCATTGCTTAGCTAAATCCCTACATATTATACTGAACACTGAGGAAGTCATAAGATGCTGCTTTGAGTTTAGGAATTTGACAGTGAAAGATATTTTTTGTTACTTTTGGCTCAAAACATTTATTGATAAGCAACATTTGCCCCTATCACTCAGAATGCTAAAATCATAGAAGGCCCATTCTTGAATAATATCTTGCAACAGCAAAAGCATGACCTTAAGTCCAAGTCAGAGAAACCTAGCAAGGCATGAAATATTTCATTCATTGCCAAAAATTCTAACAAAGATTCTGTTGGAAGTGTTGAAGCTATTCTTGGTGTTCTGTAATGAGGTTCAGACACTTCATGAGGACTCTAGGAAGTACATTCTAGAGTCCAAATTAACTGTCTCTAATGACGTTAGGTTAGATCTCTCTGTCTGATTATATGCATCATTTAGCTGATAGATCATGACAGCTTCAAAACCTCTCATTAAGTTGATGAATGATGGATTTTCTTTCTCTCCCTAAATCATAATGGCACTCGTAGTTCTTTGTTTTCAGCTAAATGAATACCTTGATTTAGAAAAAAAGTTCATAATTGAGTGAATTTTGGTTGTGTTTTTTCAAAGTAAGGATATTCGACAACAAAGATATCTGTACTTGTAGCAGGTCAGGTGGACTTGATCCTAACCATAGTTTAGTTGCTTGAAAGGGTGTCTATTAATGTTGCTATGTCCTCTCTTTGGTACACTGTCTACTTTTGCATGTCGCAGTGGGAAGATTGGGTGGAGAGAGAAGACAGGACAAGAAGGAAGGAAGACATAACTCTAGGGAGAGAAGAAAAATGGTTGGGCAAAATGAAATCATTCCTGTCATCATCCCATAAAATTTTGCTAACACCATGACTAGGTTTGCCAGACATAGCCCCCAAAAGGTGGAACTTTTCCACTGACTGGGAGGGACTTGAGTGAGTATTGTAGTACCTACTTATGCCAGTGCTATGTGCTTTGTAGATATTAACTCATCTAATCACCTTAGAAAGACCTTTTGAGATAGGATCTAAATTGGCCTCAAATGTGTAGATTTTTTAAAGTTAGAATTTAACTCAAAGTACTTTCTAGTGCCCATTGTATGCCAGGCTTGTTATTGCTAGAAATATAGTGAACAAAGGCTATGCCCTCACGGTCATTCTAGTAGGGGAGATGGATAGCAAATAAGAAGACAAGTAGGTATGCAGAATGATTCAGGTAGTGATCCATGCTTTGAGGAAAAGTAAAGCATGATAGAGGAATAAAAAGCAACTTGGAAGAGGGATGTTTTATTAGGCGAAGTAGTTAGAGAAAAACTGCAAAAAGACAAGACTGGCTGGGGCAAATTGATAAAGGGAAAAAGTGATGGGAAATAAGGATGGAGAGGGAGTTTGGGGCTAGGATGGAGGTCGAACTCACGGCGAGGACTCTGGATGGTGTTCTCAGAACGATGGCAAGCCAGGGTTGGTTTCATACAAACAGGGAAGTCCTTCAGAAAGATCAGTGCAGCTGCTGTGTGGGGACTGAATAGAAAGAGTCCATCAGGAGGCTGTTCAGGGACTCCACCAGTAGATAGAGGTGATTTCAAAACAAAACAAAACAAAAAAACACCCCCAAGAGATTCTAATATGCATCCAGAATTGAGAACACTGATTTAAATGTAACAGAAAAGAACTTGATTGAAAGGACATAGCTGCTTCTCGAAAAAGAAAAACATATTAAAAGCATTTTGGGATATGTCCTTCCTTATCACTGAAATCAAAAATTTAATACCATATGCTTCTGGGCTGAGGATGGGGCTGCGTCTCAATAAACCCATCATAAATTGAAAATATTGTAAGGTTTCGATTTAGGATATTTTCAACTTATGATGTGTGTATCAGAAAATTCTTAAGTCAAGGAACATGCAGATTGCATATTGCTTTTACACCTTTATAAAGTCAAAAAATCATTGAGTCAAACTATCATTGGGAACTATCTGTATATCTTACTTATGTTATTTTAAACCATTTCAGGGATTTTTTTGGTTTATTTTGGGGGGTTAATTTTTGAGGGCTTTTTTTAAGTTCTGTGTATATTTTCTCTCTTCTTTCTCCTCTTCCCCTCAATCTCTCTAATATCTTTGTTTTTTCTACAAAGGAACTTGGAAAATCATGGGAGGAAGTTCAGTTGGAAGATGATCGGGAATTACTAGACCATCAGGAAGAGTAAGACTTGTTATTGCTCCTTTTTTTTTTTTTTTTTTTTTTTTTTGAGTCAGGGTCTCACTCTGTCACTACACTACAGGTGTGAGCCTGTACACCCAGCCATATTGCTGCTAATTAATGACGGTGGCAGTATTTCAAGAGTAGGAAGACAGTGCGTTAGGTTGGCTTAAAATTATCATTATGAAGAAGGAGCACAGAAAGAAAGAAAACCTCTTCTCTGAATCATCCATCCTTTCATGTAATGTGGCAAAAACTTGAATTCAAAATAGCTATGACTTAAAAATCACTGTTACCAACTAAATTAAAGCTACTAATTGAACACACAAATAATATATAATTCAGAGAAAAATACAATCCAAAGTGCTTTGCATACTCATCTAATGCTCAGACCTTGAAGTGATATCTTTGAACTCTCCGTGGTGCTGCCATCAGAATAGAGAATGTAACTGAATTGAAGTTAATCCTGTTCTGTGTTCTTCTCACCAATGACTAACTTAAAACATCCATTGTAAGCTTGAGAAGTGTTCTTTTCAGCCTACAAAGATCCCGTTTTTCATCCCCTTCAGTCAAAGCTCTCCAGTCTTTTTTCTCTCCCAGGATTTGAATTTTTATTATTTTAATAGTGAAGTAAAGCCCACAGTTGGAAAGTTGCCATTTGTTATATTTCTTTGATGTGTATTAGATTCAAGCAGAGTTCTCCAGATGAGAATAAAAACATTCCCTTTTCATTAAGATATTCTAGTTAGAATATTTAATGAGTGAATGTTGAAGTTTTAATAACAAAAAGGTTATGAATAGTCATAGCTGTGACCTGGAGCAAATGGACTGGTGACGCCCTCCTGGATGGATAGAGTTAGGGAAGGTATTTCCTGTTTTCTAACAGGGAAAATTCTGTATGAATCACGTTAGATTGAGCTTCAAAGTCACATCCATGATGAAACTTGCCATGAAAAATTCTCTCATTGGAGTTTGAATGGATAGTCTTCAACTCTACATCTCTTCTCTACTAGCAGTTTTCCTGGTCTGGACATGACAAGGAGTTGGCAGTATTTCAAAAAATAAATGTAAGGAAGGGGAAAAGTGATAAAAAAGGATCGTGTGTGCTTTTTGAGTTATTGTCTACCACTAGATTTAACACTTGCCCCATTTTAAAAGATCAGTATTTCTCTCATGAAAGATACATGGCTTTCCTTTTTAAAATAAACTGTTTATCTTGCAGAAACACACTCCCATCATCACACCTCACAGCATATGCACTTAGTGGTTGTGGTTAATGAGAGAACATCACATCTTTGCAAATTAAACTTTGTTGTCTCAGGATGCCATTGCTCTGATTTGGTGCTCAGAAGAAAGGCAAATAGGAGAAAATGGAACAGCACCTGTTCGCTATTTATATGAATTTCATGGTACTGCTTTGAATTCCAAAAGCTGTATCAGAAAGCCATAATATGATGTGACAGTCTTTACCATAATGTCAAAGTTGAAAGAGATCAGCAGAGTTTCCTAGGATGGAGAAAGTAGTTCCAAGTCACTCTGTAGTACATTCTCTTAAGGAAGGGAATCTGTTTTCTGCTCTCTTTTTTAAACCAGTGACTGGTCTGACTGGGAAGAACACCCTGCCTCTGCAGTCTGCTTATTTTGTGAAAAGCAAGCAGAAACAATTGAGAAATTGTATGTCCACATGGAGGTAAGATACTCTTATGTATTTGAATTTTATTTTATTCTGACAGGAGGAAGGGTTAATTATTGCACCCTCATCTGCTTGTACTTGAGTTCTTCTATCACTATCCCATTCTAAACATGCTCTAGGCATCGCAGAAGAGACAGGCAAGGTCTGTCTGGGAGAACCTGGGCTTGGGGCAATTTAACTAGTGCAACTGACTGGTCCTTGCTGAGCTGTTGGTGTGGGATCTCACAGACCACTGAAGCCATCCCACCTCGAGATGCTTACAAAAGCATTCTGGCTCAGAAGATCAGATCTGCAACCATGATTAACAGTACCCAGGATATAGACAGGTTCTGGTCTTTTTTCCAGTGCTTCCAGTGCCAATGAATCAAGAGCAAGAAGGGAGGATGTTGCCATTTACAAGCCCCTGAGGGAATAGTGGAGAGGGGATGGGTAGGTAGGGTGCAGGTTTCCTTAAGGTACCAGGATTTAGAGAGAAGAAATGTTGAAGCATTCCTAGTCTGTGCTTTTCCTTCTGGGCACCATTTTTTATGTTTAAATGAAGCCTGAAGCTAGGAATCTAAACCTTTATTCACCCTGCTATACCTGAGAGATGCCACATACCCTACACCTATAATGTGGGACACTGGGGGAAGGAAGGGGAACCTTTAATGATTCATAACAGTATTGCAGCTTGGAGGTAGAGGGTGAAATATAGAAAAATATTCCTGGATAATGCTGATAATCTCTCCCTCCCCTCCCTGCCACCCCCGCCCCCCACCAACTCCCCAACCAGTCATGGACTGTATTCCTCTCTTTTACTCACTGTTACTCCATCTTTTACTCACTGTTACTCCACCCTCATTCAGAAACACTATTCTTAGTAAAATAAGGACCTAGAAGGTGTTCAACGGCCATGAGCATTTACCTTCATTTTAGTTTCTCTGAAACAGTTAGCATTAGTATGTGTGTGTAATTTCCTATGTTTAAATTTAATTTATAATATCTTACTGTCTTTGTATTGATGGTAACCTTAGCACTCTATCCTGTCTAGGGTCCTCAGGTACAGGTGTCCTTAATCTCTACTCAGTCACTGTCAGTGATGACATACAATGAATTCCTGACCATCCTGCATATGGTGCTACACTCCATGCCATCACAGTGAGTTAGGTGGTCATTAACCTCTGTGAGCTTGTAAATTGAAAGATTTACACAGGCACACAATTGCAGGAGTCTAATAAAAAAATATTTTTTAAGTCTCTACATTATGAAAATCAAAAGGAAGTGTGATTTATGAGAAGAACTGAATGAAAAGAAGCTTTCGAGTTTAAACAGTGTATTTGACAGCATAATACAAAAAGCAGAATTTGTCAAATTGTCTATCTGCTTGTAGAACAAAGAATCCATCACTCTAGCTCAGAGGCCTGGTACAATAGAGCCACATCTTACCTACACCTCTGTCAGACTGCAGAGTACATACATAGACATCCACACTTTTATAAGACAGCAGAATCAGCCATTGTAAATTGTAAAAACTATAGATATAAGCTGTGAATAGTTAAAATGTTTAACTGATTAACATGACTTATTTGGATTGTGCTTTAAAAAGAAGTAGGATGTGGAGGGAAGTAGTCAGAAGATTTCCAAAGCAAAAGATGATGGACTTTGAGTGTCTCAAGTACTCAAATTCCTTTGAATAAACTGTAACTTCAGCCTGAACAATTAAATAATGCATGTGCTTACACATGTATTCATTCCTTTTTTAGGATGCACACAAATTTGATCTTCTCAAAATAAAGTCAGAACTTGGTAAGTTTTATTTGGAATTTTTTTCCTATGATACTGCATTTTTATAAACCATCCTGTAAATTATGCCTATGTTCTGCAATTGTGATTGGACAGTGCACTGCAAAAATGTGACTTTATGCAGATGATCTTAACAGAACTCTGTAAAGCAGTGATTTTGAACAATCACAGTTAAATATGGTTTTTGGTTTCATATACTTCTTTTGTCTTACATATATAACTGCTTCAAGTAAAATACAATTTCATTATTAATATCTATCATAAAGTGGAGAAGTTTATTAGAAAGAGCATGGGTTGCGAAGTTAGACTAGAGTTCATATTTCAGCTCCAGCACTCACCAGCTATAAGACATTGGGCCTCAGGTCAGAAAAATGTTATGAGTAGTGAATAATGTATGTAAAACACCTACTACACTGCTTGGCAGTACAGCTAGAACTATCATTCTGTATCACCACAACAGAAGGACTTGAGGCATTAAGGCATAAACAGATCTAAAACAGTAAAATGGCCACTTCTGGTTTCTCACTCAACTCAGTTGCTACCCTTCTAGTCTCTTGAATTTGTCATCTTGCTGCTCTTATAAACATATAGATACATTAGCTTCGTAGTCAGGAGCATGGGCTCTGCAGCCAACAGCCTGGTATCAAATCCAGGCTCTCCCACTTACTGACTATTCAACCTTAAACAATTTCCTAATATGTAATGTAGACATGAGAATACAACCTATTTAATAGGGTTTTTTCAGATTAAGTGTATTAATACAATTGAAAAATGATTAGAATAGCACCTAGCACATACGCCCAAATAAATATCAGTTGTTATTGTTTTTTTGGTTTGTTTGTTTGTTTGTTTTTGAGTTGGAGTCTCACTCTGTCGCCCAGACTGGAGTGCAGAGACCGCTCCCGGCCACCGCAGCCTCGACCTGCTGGGCTCCGCAATCCTTCTGTCTCAGCCTTCCAAGTAGCTGGAATTACAGGTGTGTGCTAACATGCCTGGCTAATTTTTGGTTTGTTGTAAAGATGAGGTCTCGCCAACTTGCCCAGGTGGGTCTCGAACCTGTGGGCTCAGTCAATCCACTCACCTCAGCCTCCCAAAGGTGCGGGATTACAGGCTGAGCCACCGAGCCCAGCTTGTTATGTTTGATACCCATTATTATGCTTTATGATTGCACTTCTTCAGCGGGTTTGATAAAGATAAGTAGCTCCTTTAAGAAATTATAACAGTGAGAAAATGTGTCTGACCAGTCTAGACAGTGATTCTGTATACTGTGATTTAGGGTTAAATTTCTATCAGCAAGTGAAACTGGTCAATTTCATTCGGAGACAAGTTCACCAATGTAGATGTTATGGCTGTCATGTGAAGTTCAAATCCAAAGCAGACTTAAGGACTCACATGGAAGAAACTAAACACACTTCGCTGCTTCCTGAAAGAAAGATGTGGGATCAGTTGGAGTAAGTACTGCTCAGACAGATGTGCACTTCTTTGCTCCATCTCCCTTGTTTTGTCCCTTTATTTAATTTCTTTAAACTTAAAAAAAATGAATAGACATATAGTTAAAAGTAAAATTCTCCAAAAAGCTTAGTTTTTAAATGATCCCTCTCTTACAAATGAAAACAACTGTTTTAGAATTTGTGGCATGGAGATAGATACATATGTTGATAAAGAAGTAGGCCTAGATTTTTAATTATATCTTGTTAACAAAATATTGTAAATATCTTTTCATAGCCAATATATATTTTTGGGGGTTTTTTTGTTTGTTTTTGAGTCAGGGTCTTAGTCTGTCACCCAGGCTAGAGTGCAGTGTCACAATCTTATCTCATGCCAGCCTAAACCTCCTGGGCTCAGGCAATTCTTCTGTCTCAGCCTTCTGAGAAGCTGAGACTACAAGCAAGTGCCACCATGCCCAGGTAATTTTTTCATTTTTTGGTAGAGATTAGGTCTTGCCATGTTGCCTCGGCTGGTCTAGAACTCCTGAGCTCAAGCGACCGTCCTACCTTAGCCTCCCAAAGTGCTGGGATTACAGTTGTGAGCCACCACACCCAGCCTGTTGGATCATTTTTAATGATTGCCAAATCCCATTGTATGGTTATAACCCTAATTTGTTTTATACTTCTTGCTATTATAAATACTCATACAATGAATATCCATGTGCCTACATTTTTGTACACTTATCCCATTATTTCATTTAGGCAAACTCCTAGAAATAAAATTACTGTGTCAAAGGGTATGCTGGAGCTTTTGGTATATAGTTTGAATCCTGGCACTTTAAAAACATTAAGCAGTTGGTCATCTGGTATGTACCTACTGAGGTGTTGTCAGTCCAACCCTTCTGGACTAGTTCTCACATCATTCTGGATAACCTCTGCCGAAGGAACTCAGGAGATTATAGAGTGATAGCTGCCCAGAGGTTCCTCTGTTCCTAGGGAATGTGAAGTCAGGCTCCCCATAAATCCAACCAAAAAGCACTAGCTTTTCCCCTTCAGGAAAATCCCAAATTTCTGAGAGCAAAAGTCAGCCCTGGATTGAACTGGTTCCCTGTTCCTATAATCCTTTTTACAGAGATTCAAATCTTTAGTGGTACTCCAGAAGCAGCTCCATAGTGTATTCAGAGAAGGAACCAGAATAACAAACTTAAACTTCTATAAATGTTTTATTTTGTGATCACCTAGGGTGAAGGAGCCTATAATGATTAGATTGGAAAACAAAACACATGGGAAAACATAATTGTTTTCATCAAGTATTTGAAGAATTTGTGTTTGAGAATATAATTATATTTGAATTTTGTTAACCTATAGGGAAGAACTAGGACGTTTGAGTAGAAGTGAGAGGGGTGCCATTTTCAGCTTCATTTGAGGAAGTATTATCTAAAACTAGAGCTGCCCAGTACTGGAGGAGGCTACCTTTGAAGATAGTGTGTTTCTTATCATGGTAGTTTATCAAGCAGAGGCTGAATGACTAGCTAGCCAGAATATTAGATTCAGTAAGGCTCGTGTCAGCCAGTAAAGGTCAAAGTGAAAGAAACTCAGACGTTGCCTCCAATATAGCCTTTGCAAAATGTTTTGAATTGTTGTCAAGAAAATCTAGCAAAATTATATGTATATTCAGCTGGCTGGAATTTTCTGGACAATTTGTTAGTTTGGGTATTTAATGCTATGTATCTGTGGTTGTTTTCAGGTATTATTTTCCAACCTATGAAAATGACACTCTCCTGTGTACGCTGTCGGACAGTGAAAGTGACCTGACAGCTCAGGAACAAAATGAAAATGTTCCCATCATCAGTGAAGATACATCTAAACTGCATGCTTTGAAACAAAGCAGTATTTTGAACCAGATACTACTACGAGAATGCTTGAAAAACTAGAAGAAACTACCACAGAAGCAGTTTTTTATGTTTTTCTCCTATGAGACAGACATGAAAGAATACAGTAGTTTAAATTTGAACATCGGCAAAGGATTAGTCCTTGGTGAAATAAACTTTTCAAAACTGAATGTCTCTTCAAAAACAAAGTAGAAAACTAAAACGAAGACTTTTTGTATTTGAGCTATAAAATGTTATTGTGTGATCATCTTAAATAATCTCATCTCATTAAACTTATAATGAGTTACAAAGAAATGAAGTGTTCAAATTATTTATCAACCTGATTTTTAACTAGTAGATTCAGTTTTCTCCCTGCAGGACTTCTTCATTCAACAAGTTACAAAATTCGAATGTGCTTTCTGTATCATATTAGGTGAACTGTGAATGTAGTGACCAAAAGAAAAGCCACAGAAGAAAGAAAAAAATGGTCAAAGACCTTGATAATGAGCAAATCGGACACTATTTTAGAATAATCAAGAACTGGCTATATTATCATTATTGCTTTCTGCCATTATTGCTTTTTGCTTTCATTGTTGCTAGACTCCCTAGAAATGGACATCAAGCCAATTAACTTCACTTTTCTCTGCAGTGTATCATTAACAGATAGGTACCATCTTTTAAAAATATGACCACAAAACCATTATGACACCTAACAAAATTAACAATAATTTTTTTATATCATCTGTTTTCAGTTTTCCCCAGTTGTACCAAAATTTCTTCTTTACAATATTATAGCTCCATAACTGATAAATATTGTGTGCCTCCTGATAAGATGCACTGAGGAGAACAGAACATTACTTGTGTGAATTTATACCAAAAATGTATAACCTGTCAAAAGAAGAAACAGTCAAACCCAAGTTGAAGTATAGTCTACAAAATAATTGACCATTGACCTTTACTCCTTAAAAATCTTAAAATCATTTTTTAAAAAAGACTGAAAAAGTATTTTAGATTACAGAGGGCTAGTGATAGCACAACGTAATTCTTGATTGGATGCTGGACCAATATTTTGCTATAAAAGACATTAGTGGGACAGTTGGCCAAATTTGAATAAGGTCTGTAGTAAATGTGGTGGTATTGGTGTTAATTTCCAGGTTTTTATAACTGTACTGTAGTTATACATGAGAATATCTTTGTTTTTAGGAAATACTCATGTACACTAAAGTATTTAGGGATAAAAGAGCATTTTGTTCTAACATGGGTATATAGAGAATAATAAAGTAAACATGATAAAATGTTAACATTTGGGGAATCCAGGCAGAAAGTATGTGGGAAGTCTTTGTACTCTGCAGCTTTCCTGAAAGTCTGAAATTATTTCAAAATTTCACATTTTTTAAAATGTCTTTTTGTAGTTGGTTGAGATCCACACATTGCATTTGGTCAGAGTGGCTCTTAAGGATCGTCATGCTTTTCTAAAAAACACCACTTATTTGGCAAAGAAACTGGATCATTTGCCTCACTTTCTGATTTGGATAATTGTATCTTCTTTATATGATTTAACATGTTCCACCATCACCCATTGTGTCGGTCCATTCATGCTACTATAATAATATAAGCAATATACGTTTTTTTCTTGGTTCTGGAGGCTGGGAAGTCCAAGATCTAGGCGCCAGCAGGTTCACTGTCTGGTGAGAGTTCAGTCTCTCCTTCCAAGAGGGCTCCTTGAACGCGGCCTCACAGGGTGAAAAGACTGAATGGACCAAAGGGCCTAGCTAGTTCCCTCCATCCCTATAAGGTCACTAATCCCATCCATAATGGCAGAGACCTCATGACCTAATCACCCTCCTAAAGACCCCACTTCATGCTGTTGCAGCAGGGATGAAGTTTCAAAGGGGATTTTTAAGGAGACAAAAGCATTCAAACCATAACACCTGTTTATCCTGCAAACTAGAAGATCCAGAAGCTCCATTAAATTTAGGTTCAAAAATATTTTTTTCAGTACTTCTATGAGGGTTGTGTGTATCACATTGGGTCATGATGTACCATTTTTAGAGATGCCAAAATTGACCTGTGCTTTGAGGTGTTTTCAAATTCTGTCATTTCTTTACAAGTGGGTTCTTTACACAGCAATGTACTATGGAGCACTGGAGTCTGAGGCACTAGTTTTCAATGATTAATGCTAGCCTTTGCAGGTGGTGCCCCACAACTAATCTTGCCTGTCCAGAGACTCAAGAGCCACCTCCTTCCACTGTGTGGTCCTAACTTGACTGGACTGGTAAATTACATAGGCTCTGACCAGGGCTTTAGCTTTCTAAGCCTTCAGCTCTGTGGACACCCATAGAAGTCTTTTGTTGAAAACCAAACAACAAAGATGTGGGAGCCCATAGCATAATGAGAAATGCCTTAGTTTAAGACACAAGTTATTTTATAACCAAAGGTTAAAAAGGCAATTAGTTCTGTGACCAGAACACTGTGTCTCTAGGAATCAGATTTATTCAGGAAATCAAGGGGAATATCTGGAGAGTTTTTCTAGAACAGGAGCAATGGAAGAATGAGAGCAGAATAAACTTGAGAAGGAAAAAGTATTTTTGGAGAAAAAGTTGATATCCTAGAGTACAAATCAGATAGATACACATAAAAGGGAAACAAAGGATAGACCAACAGTTGAAGGGAAAATATGATGTACTTAGGGCTTAATTCATATTAGAAGTTTGTTTGTTTGTTTGTTTGTTTTGAGTTGGAGTCTCACTCTATCACCCAGACTGGAGAGCAGTGGTACACTCCCAGCCACCGCAGCCTCGACCTGCTGGGCTCTGGCGATCCTTCCGTCTCAGCCTTCCAAGTAGCCGGAACTACAGGTGCGTGCTACCACGCCTGGCTAATTTTTGATTTATTGTAGAGACGATGTCTCGCCAAGTTGCCCGAATGGGTCTTAAACCCACGGGCTCAGGCAATCGACTTGTCTCAGCCTCCCAAAGTGCTGGGATTACAGGCTGAGCCACCGAGCCCGTCCAGAAGTTTTCTTTTTTTTAAGTGGGTAGATATTTTGGGGTTTATTTGGGGGCAGAAATGTTAACTTGGACCCAAAGAAATCTAACAAGAATAGAAGCAAAATCCCTGCAAATATACCAACTCCCAGAGAAAGCAAGACCACTACTGGCAAAGGACTCTCCATGTAGCCTCGAGCGACCCAGAGGTTCCTTGGTAAGAACCATGGGAAACTAATTGCTCCTTAAAGACTAGGACAGTGATACCAAGTGTACCCTGAAAGTCTGGACAATTTGAAAGAGGAAGATCAGTCAGACAAAAGTAAGCAATTCAAGGAATTACTGAATGAGTTTCCAGATGTCATTGTAATTATAGATAGGGATGCAAGTGCTGCCTGTGCCCCAAAGGGAACACACCTAAGAAATTTTTAGAATTAAGATTTAAATGAAGGCCACAAGAAGGATGAAACGTGACTGAAGAGATCCAGGCTGGACAGTGATAAAAGGATCCTAAACTTGGGCAAGCTGTTAATTCAATCAGAAAATGCATGCCGGTTAGGATTACCTAACGCAGGAAGGTGAGGGTGGCCAAGATATTTTTTGGACAATGGTTGCTTTTGGCAGATGAAAATCTAGTGAGTTCTCTCTCGCAACTGAAGGTCCCATTAGACAAAATCTAGAACTGAATGTTAGATAAGTACATGTCAGAAAAGAAAAGAAAAAGTAAAAAAAAAAAAAAAAAAAAGATGACAGCATTAGGCCTCTGTGTAGGGAAGGAAAGGGTTCAACTCAGCTGTTCCTACCTAAAAGGTGTGGAGGGAAATCCCCCAACTGTTGCTGAAAAGGCAGAGCAGAGAGAAGCATACTGGAAGCTGTGACCAACCTCAAGCAAGGGACAATGGTGTGCCCAGGGGCTAGGCAGAGGTGTCTGTCTTCGCCAGGTCACAGTGCAGCTCGTCTGTCAGTTGCCCATGATATTCATTCTCTCTTTCTTCAATAAAAGTAATAAAGTTCAGCTGGGTGTAAAGAAGCCTGTATTTCCCAGCCTCTCTTGCAGTTCAAGATACTCATGTGTTTAAATTGTGACGAATAACATGTAAGCAGGAGGTCCCTTAAGATCTTGGACACAGGTACCCTCTGTTTTTCAGCCCTTCCTACCTCCTGTTGCTTAGGATATGGGAGTCTGGTCAAAGTCAAGCACGGTGGGGCATCCGTGTCAAAGGAATCTGGAGTCCTGACACTATGGAGGACTAGAACAGCTCTGGAAAGCTGAACTGGATATTTATGTGAAAGAAAGAAACTTCTACCTTCCACTGTCATTTAAGGTTTTCTGGCATTCATAGCCAAACTATCCTAGGAATACACACCTAGGAATTCGAGCTGCGGAAACATTGACAGCAGCTCTAGTTCAGGCGTCAGCGGAGGATGGCTTCCAGCTGAAGCAAATGGGGGACTGAAAGGGCAACTATTCTTAGAAAACGGGCTTCAGCAGCCTGGGCAATTCCACAACGGAAGGCAGCAGCAGGAGCCACTGCGGCAAAGAACTGAGGAGCCGGTACACAGGAACATGTGGAAACCGTGCCATTACTTAGAGCCCAGACTCCCTGGATTGGGGGATGCTGGAGACAGAGGGCTCACGGGGAGATGAGAGCTAAGAGGCTTATAGGACGCAGAACAGGAAAGAAAGACCTCTCAAAATAGAGCTTGTGATTGGACTTGCCATAGTTCAAAACTTTGCAAGAATGTAAATGTCACCCTGAGAGAAATAGCTATGGATTCTTCCCACAGCAATGGTAAGACGTGTTTATGTCTTGAGGGAGATTCCTCCTCATGGCGTCAAGTTTACAGATCAAGGATCTAAGATAACTTACACAGATGGATTCACATGCTGGAGAATCTAAAGTCAAGATATGAGTCTCTCTTGTGGGAAATGCAGGGTTCTAGGAGCACTGTTTTGTCTTGGTAACTACTGGAAGATCTTGGAGTTCATTTGTTTAAGTTTGTCGGTATTAAGTGCTTTAATGATAAGCTGTTTTTAAATTTTTTTGTTTTAAAGATGTGGGTACAGTTGTTCAGTATGCAGGTACCCTTGTTGATGAGGTATTAAAAGCAAGATATATCAGAAACTTGGTGTTTCACATCAAGTTCCAAAATGAAAAATGTCACACTAGTGGCTCTAGTGAGACATTGCCCAGGCTGTCAGAAGAACCCCAGTGCCCTTGAGACATCGAGAACCCCTCTCACTCAGGATGAGCTGAAACAGAAACTGGGAAGGATGAATTTTAGATTTTAATGTCTTTTAAGTTTAGCTCAGACAAGAGAATTCAA